AGAATGAAAAAATCAGCCCAAAAGTATATGAATGTATATTATACATTTTACAGATATTTATGTAATTTAGATTCAATTTTAAATAATTCTTGGAAAGAGGAGTTATGAAACCTAATATGCATTAAAATAAAATTATATTACAGTTTTAAATATTACAAAATATTATATATTTTGTAATAATTTTAACACATACCAATTTTAATATATATATTAAAATTGATATGTGTTAAAATTATATCAGTCTAGTTAGTTAAGTATACCTATATTTATTAAATATTTACAAATATGTTCTTTTTATGTGTTTTTGATTTAAAAATTTATTTTTCTTATACAATCCCAATAAAACCTTTGAGTGGGTAAAATAATGTGAACTCTATGATGATTTAGAAGTTATCTTTATGATGTGTTTTGCGATTTAACATGGGGAGACAGGCTGCAATCAAATGACTGTTTTTGATCCAACAATTGTTTTTAAATCAATAAGTTCCTATCGGAAAAACGTAGCGAAGTGTTTTCGCAGAGAACGACATAAGCGTGACGATCTTTGTAATGGTAGTGGTTTTACTTCGTGCTCTCTTCTCGTAATGCTCCCTTCGTCGTAATCGTAGCGATTATTCATGAGAATATGGCGCAGTAACTGTATTCTCACGGTGCAGTGACTTCAATACCGCTATAATGTGCGCTGCGCGCGTTTGAGACACTACTCGAAGCGAAGACAGCAGAGCGCATTGTAATGCAGCCGCTCTCGCCATAATCGGCATCGCGCATTCGTATCAATGTCAATGCATCACAATCGGATAAAAATAACAATTCCGTGCACATTCTCGCAAATAAGTATTAACGAAAGGATATCGAATGGTACCGTAAACTGGCGTAAACCACAGTTACATTGTTGTCATAGGTATGAATAATTTCGTGAGATAGCTTTTTTCCTGTTTTTTCTCATTTGTTCGAACACAGTGTTAGTGATTTGTTGATTGATAAAGGAAAACACAATGATGTAAATAAACAAATTAATAAGAGAATAATTTATATATATATATTTTATATATATATTTGACATTATATAGTGCGAAATCCTTTATTTAATATTATTAATAAAATTACAATAGTCCGTGTGTTTTATGTAACTTGATTTTGATAGTTAATTTAAGATTTTACAAATCAAATACATTAAATGATTTTTAAATTTTGTTGCAAATTACTTAAAGAATTTATTATTGAATGATATGATAATTATGAAATATTCTGTAAAATTATTTAAAGAAATAAAATTATACATATAAAATTACACATAAGGATTAAAGGATATTCCAAGGAAATGAGTGAACATTGATCATAAAATTGATCGCCATTACGGTTGGGACTTTCCCAAATCGGCCAGCAACGAGTTTCCTTTCGTTATCCTTTGAACACAATAACGCATCTAATACAACATAAAAGAGACACGGATGTGATTCCGGAACTTTCTCGGATTTCGTCTACGTTTTCTATCTTTAATCGCCGGTCGACGATGGAGGTGTCGTGGAAGTACGAAAGGTTCTCTCGTAAAACCACTAAGAGCATGGTCAGTCCGACGATGCGTTCCGAACAACACGGAGAAAGTGGGACGATGAAAGTGCGATCGAACGACTGTGTATATGTTTGTTTTCATATTTGTAATTGTGTATCCATTATCGAGAGAATTACGCCTTTTTATTGACGATTTGTTATCGAATGATAAAAATAATAATAATGGCATGATAAGCGTCGCAAGCTTCGTTCCTGATTTAACATTCTTTTATCAAGGCGGCATTTTATTTTTCGACATTTCTAATCATTAAAGAATATCGTTTACAAATATTGCGTAATCATCCCGATAATTTTCATCCTATAATTTTCATTCAATTAAGAGCTATGATATATCATCAATTTGCAATTACAATTGTTAGCACGAATTGTCATTACTGAGCACGCTATTCTTCGGACATTGAAATCTTGATGCTCGCTGAAGTCACCGACGGCAGGTCGCCCTACTTTGTGAATGACCGGTTAAAGGAAACTCCGCTGTTCTCCCCGCTGAGGGGCTTTCAAAAGAGGCAGGTGGAGTCTCAGACCTTTCACAGTAATCCTTGATCGACTATTCTGATAAAATTACCTCGGAAAAACGGGATAAAAAGTATCTTGCTGTATTACATAACTTTAATTATACAAATATATAACATTTTAGGAAATAATTCATTAGATAGTTTACTAATTAATTGAAGAAAAT